TGCAAACAACTTTTCTCGTCTGAGGGTTTCGAGAACTACCCTCAGATGCTCCTCGTTCTCCTTCTGGCTCTTTGAGTAGATAAGAATATCGTCAATAAACACAATAACGAACTGATCGAGGTAGGGATGGAAAATACGGTTCATGAGGTCCATGAAAACTGCTGGTGCATTGCTGAGACCGAATGTCATGACGACGAACTCGTAATGGCCGTAACGAGTCCTGAAAACGGTCTTAGCGATATCTTACTCCTTAATATTCAGCTGGTGGTAGCCTGATCGTAAATCAATCTTTGAAAACACACAGTCTCCCCTCAACTGATCAAATAAGTCGTCGATCCTGGGAAGCAGATACATGTTCTTAATCGTCAACCGGTTCAAATCCCGGTAGTCGATACATATGCGCATGGATCCGTCCTTCTTCTTAACAAAGAGAACGGGTGCTCCCCAAGGTGACACGCTCGGTCGGATGAAACCGAGTCGTAATAGCTCCTGAATCTGAGTCTTAAGCTCCTGCAACTCCTTTGGCGCCATATGGTATGGGGCTTTGGATACTGGACCGGCTCCTGGAATGAGATCGATAGAGAACTCCACCTGCCGGTTAGGCGGTCCTCCATGAAGCTCGTCTGGAAACACTTCCACAAACTCACGAAAGACTGGAACATCGCGAGGTGAGCGTGCTTTCTGAGAATCATCGACAAGGCTCACCAGATAACCCTTGCAGTTGCCTCATCACAGCAACTTAGTGGCTTTTGCCATCGTAACAACATGAGGCAATGAACGATTCCTGGAGCCGAAAAAAGTGATCGATTCGTCTCTTGGAAGATAAAGCTTAATCTCCCGGTCATGGCATCTGATGTCTGCATGATAAAAGGATAGCCAATCCATTCTGAGAATAAGGTCGAAATCTCTCATCTCGAGAACAAACGCGTCGGTAGACAATACTCGGCCACCGATGGAAAGGCTAAGATCTGAAGCTTTAGCAGAAGTCACTATCTTCCGTCCCAAGGCTAAACTCACCTCGAG